GCTGAAGGCCGATCTTGTCATAGCGATGAACGCGCCTCGTTGACGGAGACATGGGGTTACTCTTGAGCTTCTGCTCTGTGTTGTGGTGGTAGCAGTAGTAGTAGTAGTAGTAGTAGTAGTAGTAGTAGTACGAGGAGGAGGAGTAGTCGTCGTCGTCGTAGTCGCCGTAGTCGTAGTCGTAGTCCTAGTCCTAGTCCTAATCGTAATCCTAGTCCTAGTCGTAGTCGTAGTCGTTGTCGTAGTAGTAGTAGTCGTCGTCGTCGTCGTAGTCGTAGTTGTAGCTGTTGTTGTTGTTCTGCTGCTAGTGCTCCTACTACTACAACTACATGACGACGACTTGTGCGAAGACTACGACTGCTTGCGACTTTGACGGCGGGTGGGGGGGCGCTGGTGGTGGCAGACGTGTTCTGGGGTGATGAAAGACGCATTAGTTTAGTAGGACTAGTAGCACTATCAAAATCATCGTGATTGCATTCCCAGAAGCGGCAGGGCAGCAGCAGCAGCAGCAGCAGAAATCGTAGCACTTGCGAGCTGGATAAGACTGACTAACGAACATCACCATGCTAGGTAGACTCAATGAGACCAAATTGAGGGTCCACCACCTGTTTCAGGCTTTGCCGAGATCACGTTCGCTTCCCTGCCTGCCTGATTCGACCCTTCACAACTTTGGAAGGAATGTTGCAGCATGACAACATAAGGTTGTGGAAGTTTTTTGCAATGATCATACAGAAGTAGTAGTTGAATTTCATCTGACATTTTCCGAGGGGCTCCGCCATATACTCATCTGCACCATAGTATATGGACAGCTTGGAGTGGCCAAGGCCTCAGAACAGGTTGAGCCCATTCCCTTCACACTTCACTGCACAATGTCTGACCAAACAGCATCCCTCGCAGCAGCTCAGCTGTTATTCCAAGCCTTTCTTGCCAAGAAGGGGATCACTGGCCATGGTGCACGTCGCGGAACAGAACAAGCAACACCGCTACCGAGCCGCAAACAGCTTCACACACTACGCGCACTCCCTTCGGCCCCTCTACTGGCTGCTTCCCTCCACAGGCAGATCTACGCATAGGATGATATCAGCCTAAGCCACACTTGAGTTCTGGTATGATTATTTTGTGTTTCTCTACTTATCTACCTAACTTTTCTGTTTCCGGGAGCTTCACCAACGTTGCGTGTGTTTGCCGGCATCGGCGTAGTTGCCCGTTTTGGTAAGTTAGAGTTGGTCTGAAGCCAGCAACTACCTGGGATACTATGGAAGTCTGGTTCATACCATGTAAACCAGACAGTAGGTTTAAGGCGCAAACCGCGGTGCACAAGAAGTTCCTGAGCACGTGCATGACTGTATCCCTGCATGCGATGAGCTAAGGGTGACTGCTGCTGCGGAAACTTGGCATTATGCTGCATGTGACCATCCCGTATATCCTGTGTCATGGAAACAACAACACCGACGGCCACCATTGAGTCACTCATTCCTATTGCAACATCTCGAAAAGGATGGTGTGAATCCAGTTGTCGGTGTGACTCTAATGATGCTACTTGTGCTATCACTCAGAGGATGGACTAGGCACGATCTCTGTGTGCCACCAGGGGCTGGTATAGCTGGCTTTACGGCGAACACAGCGAGTAAACAGGACTTCCAAGTCCTAAGCTTCGCGCTTCGCATGCATATCCTACTGCTTAGGAGGGTTTCCAGCAGAAGGCTTCTCTCAAGCGGGGCGAAGTCTCCGGAAGGCTTGCAACACCATCTTTATCGCTTTGTGTGTTGATACTTGACTGCAGTCAGTGCCGAAATATATAACTTACTATACATCGACCCTAATTAAAGCCGAGAGCTCCGAACTCCCAGAAGAAGAATCGATTTGTTCCTGGTCGCAGGAAGATAGAAGTAGCTTGAAGAAGCTCCAGACTTCCAGCAGGCTCGAGGATCTGCATTGCTGCACCTTCGTCTCTTCAGACGTGGCCACTTCGCAGATCTGAGGCGGAGCCTGCAAGCGAATGCCTGCGAAAAGTGGCAGAGGACGCCCACCGCGCAGGACGAGTGGGTCGTCAGTGGCAGATGCTGCCGGACACCCGGGTGAAAGCGCGGCCACGTCAAACAAGAGACTGTCGGTGGTCAGCAGCCGTACCGGACGCTCTACAGAAATCTGCGAAGAACTCCGGGCACGAAAGAAGTCTGACTTCACCACTGAGGCAACAAAATGCTGGGCACGTACAGACATGCCTAAGTGTGAACCGTCTGCAGTAGTCTAGTACAGCATCTGCGCCCAGTCCGGCTGCTTGCCCCCGCCCTGTGGGTCAGGCTGCCCGGTTTGGGAAATTCTATGCAATGCAACCTGCACAAGAAAGGACTGCCTTCCAAGGAGCTGGAAGGGATGCTGAAACAGCCTTACAGCTCCCGTGAGCCCCTTTCTTAGCCAATCGCCGGCACGAGCTGCTTGACAAGCTGTGCAAGGTCCCTATAAATGCAAGCCCCACTCGCAAACCCCTGCAGACTGCATACCCGCGTCTTCGGCTTGTCTGCAGAAAGCATGGATTGCCAAGGGCCGGCTGTGGCAAGCTCCGGCATTGCCAGTAGATGCACTGCCAAGGCAAAGCACATTGACAAATGAGGCCTTGCAGGGAAGGGACAATGTAGCCAGGCATCAAACTTTAGGTAGGTGCTTACCAAGCCTGAACCCAAAACTTCATCGGCCGGAACTTGCCTAAAGGACTCGGCCTCTCAAACAATTTGTCAGGTGGCCGGCGCCGGAGTTGTCTTCAGAAGCCAGTCCATGAACTGCCAAAGTTCAACTCTACAAGGCTCCTTCCAACAAGAGAAACTCTTGTGCCACCACCTGCTTTGCATTCTCCTTTCACCTGTTCTGACGGTAGCATCAGAGATGATTAATCCAGAACCCAAGGCGACGGAAGGTGGGAAGCATTCGATCAGCAACTCTGCTAGTGCGTCCAGGGGATGCGATTCCTGCCGTCCGAACTACACCCATTGGTCTCACGTCGCCGAGTGGTTCCTCTACATGGAATGGCCGCACTGCTGGTGCTTGTACCCACTGGAAGAGTCAACAATCTGACTCGCATAAGTGCGTCAGAAACCAACAGTAGTGTCGTGTGCTCGCCGAAGGTTCTCCACGGATGTATTTCTACTCTGGTTAGCAACAGCAGTGGCAACACCTCAGGATTGTTTAACAATCCCAATGTGCTGTATACAGCCTCAAACTGACGTCAAGCCTCGGCACGGGCATTGGCCTGAGTTGGACAGGTACTCAACTACTCTGACGGATGGTCTGCATAAATACATATTAAATAAACAAATCACAACGTAAATGATTAACATAAACCAGCAGATGAACAACTCAATGTACGTATGTATATATATATATACATGCGCAGCGAGGCATAATCCTTTCCGCCACCGTGAGTCGCCAGCGAAGATCACCACCATGTTTTATGATGTCCAATTACTCGTGCTAGGTCCTATATAACAACGTTGCCGCAGCGACAGGTCACAAGAAAATGCCAGCTCTGCTGAGCACCCATCGGTTGCTCCACGAGATCACCAAATGCACCCCTCGTGTTCCCTTTCAGCCAAACAGAAATGGAAGTTAGGACGTTTAGAGCTGAACAAACAATGCTATAGTAGCTAGCCTCCACACGCAACACATGGCGTAGGGCATGGCATAGCTACCTGCTGAGCGCTGCACTGTGACAGGCACTCACTGTTGACCATCCACCAGTATCTGGAGGCACATGGCGAAACGTTCTCGAGACCTGGGTGCTGAAGAGAGCATGGGGTTCGAGGACTTCTGGGCGTTCGGGCGCCTGGGGTCTGAGAGGACTTTGGAGTCCAAGCACTTTACACCCTTGACTCTTGGTATAGGTTTGTGTCCCGAACGCCCGGAGTGCCATGCAGGACCAAGGCTCTGGCGAGATATCTTCAAAGGAGAACGAGATGCACTCCCCCGACCTGTTAGCGAAAATGCCACAGCATGATAAGAAGAAGATGCTTTCTTAAGGTATTGCTGAGATGTAGACAGTTTTCATCAATTTGCACACACGCAATGAGGCCCTGACTCAAGCATCAAGGTGGCGCAGAGCTCGTCAAGTGGTGTCTCCTCACACGAGGGCTGGACAAAAAGCTGCGGAGCCTGAACTCCTTTCCAGGCCCCCCTTCTAGAATACACAGAAGTTTTGGACTTTCCCGGGCACTAACAACAACGACGACGGCGGCTACGACAACAACTTCCCAGATTGCACTGCTGTGTCCACTTCTGCGCCTGCCTCTCCTCTTAGAGCCTTGCCCCTAACTGGTCAACTACTCCTACCAATACGACGCATCAACATCCACGGTGTGCTCATCACTCTGGGCAGCAGGCAATGTCTTCAGGCTCGTTTCCCTGGTAAACCTCGCGAGCTATGCAGGAGACCTGCTATTGCGACTACTGCGACACATGAAGGCGGGATGACGTGATAGCAACCTCAGCTATCAAAGTGACGATGCCAGTCACAGCATTGAAAGTACTCGTCCAGGTACTGATGAACATCCGTGTCGCAACGACGCGACTAGCGGCTGCACACCCCTGCCTCCGTGAGCTCTGACAGGGCTATGCGCCGCACGGAGCCTTGTCGCATGAACCATGCTCCCTACCGTTTGCAGAGTGCGGAAATCTGAAAGGCATGCTGAGTCTATGTACAGCATTATCAGTCGCATCGGCACCGCACCAGCAGGATCACCAGTCAACAGCGATGTATGATCCAGCTACGTTCCCAGGTCTTTGAGTATGCTCTTTTCGCACGTGTTCTACTTGATTCGCGCACTACAGACTACCATGCGAGTGCCCTATTTCCTCTTGCGCGACTCCGAAATCAAATCGACATCCCGGATGCAGCATCATGGCAGTGAGCGAAGGGCTCAGCATGACGTAACTTATCTTGCAGTTCCGTGGTGACTGGAAAGACCCTAAAGCCGACCCCCCCCCTCCCCTAAAACAAAATCCGGAAGCCCTGAAGGCTGTACACCCTGCACAGAAAATCCCCGGCCCTAAAGCTAAACCCATTGCTCTTTCTTGAGGCTCCCCGTTTTTACATTCTTTTAAGCATGCGGAGGGGCCTTTGAGCTCGATCACGAAGTGCTTCAACCTGGCGCCGAAAACGGGTTTGTCAGAGTGCCTTGAGAGGGTCGGAATTTCTATATGCGATTCATAAGCTTTAATAAGCTGCAGGATGCTAGTAACTATAGGTCAAGATTAGGTCGTTGGAACCTTCGCGGGGCTTATGCAGTTTGGGGTCTGGATTAGCATGGCTTCGGCCTGTACACAAGGGAACATCGGCCGCCATCGGCCCCCTGTCTGGCAACTCCCTTATGAATTTTTGCAACGCTGCAGCTATGATGAGGCGTAGGGCTAGGGTTCAGGATAGGCCCTTGCAAGCGCTGTATTCGCGCTTCGCAGGTGACTATGTAGCAGGCCCTTCTTACTCCGAACTTAACTTGCGTCCCGGACATATCAACCAGCCAACACGAGGCAGGCGAGCCTCTTGTCAAGAGAGCAGGCGCACGTCCGCAAAGATCCGTCTGGTGCGATGACGCCTTGCAAGGCAAAAATGAGCTTGTCCCAAACGATACGCTCATTCCAAGATCCTACAAGTTGAAGATTTCCACAGCAACACGTCACAGCTTCTGGATCGCTGATGAAGCATGCAACGTGAACCATGTCTGTACGAATGTTGCACGTCAAAACGGTCCCGCCAGGCCTAACTGGCGTCCACGGACCATTTCGCGAACGAAGGCCTGCGCAGAAGCTTGCAAGCAAAGGCGGAGCAGCGAGTACTGGAGCAGAGCTGACAGATGGAGAAGCTACGAGAAAAAGCAAACTGACGGAAGACAATGCGGAAAGAAGAACGAGAAGCATCATTGCAGCTCACGGCCTTCATCTCGGCCTGGATTTTGGCAGTTTCACGCTGCCTTCCCGAAGGCACATCAGGGTTGAAGGGTACGACGCGCTTCCTCTGTGTGCGAGATAGAGAGGACCGAGGACCCCAGAGTGAGGCCTGGCTGGTATTCGCTCCTGCGCCACAGCGATGCACAGGGTGAGCAGCAAGGTCCGAAAGGATCCGAAGAATGCGCGCCATGTGACCGCCGCTCCATGTGTCCTGAATGAACTCACTGTTCACGGACACCGTCGAGACATTGGACCTGGCACAGCTCACACGGGGATTTGGCACGATCTCCACTCACATTTGAGATCTTGCAGCCTTCTTGTCTAAACAGCTTTTCTTCTAATCAAATTAAATTTCAGAGTGCCAAAACAAAACCTGGAAGCCCTATACAGCCTAAATCTTTTAATTACAAAGGTAGCGAACATGACACTGGTGACTGCTCTTGCACAGTGTTTCCTCTTCTTCTCGTTCTTATACAACGACGACTACAGTGATATATTTTCTAGAACGTACTGCTACTTTTGCGGGCAGTTAACGGGAATAGCAAACGCAGCTGAGTGTCATCGTCAAAAGCAGACAAAAACCCTCACCTGGACCCAGCTGAACGAGAGCTCGCCACGCTGGCCTGAGGGTGTGGAATTCATCACCAAGAGGCTTAGGAGCGGGGTCCTTCTCTCCTGCTTAACTCGATCTCTGAGTCTCTGGGGATACATCGGACGTCTGCAAACCCTACAGTAAACCCTAACGAGGGATACATATACATGTACATATGTACATACATATATGGATCTGACCAAACATCTGCAGCAATGGGAAGATCAACAAGCGGTGGTTATCAGGTCGGGCAGGCCGAACTTCGGCTTGGCTACTGGCAGGCGGGATCCTATCGTTCCTGCACCCACGTCGATCTCGCTGATGCAGTGGCAGCAGTTTACGAAACTTGGAATGAACGTATGGTACTCAGCACAAGCACACTATAATCATACATGCAATCATGCAACTATGGAAAGCCATCTGATTCAACAATGCATTGGTGTTGCGGTTGCTGCCCTTGCTGGGCGAATAGCTGTTGCCCAGTCTGAGTCCACGTAGCATTGCTGCTATCCTTGCGAAAACTACTCATCACTAGTCTCCTTGTACACTTCTCTCTATCGCTCAAAATATGAGTCTAGAAATCATGCGTTGATGAGTCTATAAAATGATCATAAGCTATAAATAGGACAAGAGGAGTCCAGAAAAGAGCACCCCCTGGGACCAGGCAGTTTCCACTGCATCGAGATCTGGCCTGAGTTGGATCAACTGGGGAGCACTAACATCAGGAACCCAAAGACGCTTTAGGGCCTTAGGGCTTAGGGGGTTTAGGGGTTTGGGGGTTTAGGGCTTAGGGGTTTATGGTAGACATACTACCTCTAGTCTTTAGTGTAGTCCCTTTTCTTGTTTAGTCAGTTTTATGCTTAGAGTCCAAAAAAAAAGGTAAACCCGACAGGTGTTGTAGAGTCGGGGTTTCAGGGTACCTTAGAGGATAAACATAGTGAGCCGCCATGAACTCTCAGAAGCAACCATGAGGCTGCTTGAGGGTGCAGGGCGTTTAGTCTTTAGGGTTAACGGTTTAGAATTTATATTTAGGGATTTAAGGTTGTAAGGTTTAGGATTTGAGGTTTACGTCTTAAGGTTTAAAGTCTAGGGGGGGGGGCGGCGAGCAGCGTCTGAGGCGGGACACTTAATGGAAGCACAGCCAAGAACCATCAGCCACGTGCAGGGTATCCTGTAGCCATGAACACATTCACACACACATCCGACGCATCTGCGGCTGCATGGAAGTTGCAATCACTCAGAACTCTACGAATAGGATCCGTGCTCGAGGAACCCATACATATTTTTTTCACATAAAAATGTTAACAAGTTACATACAAGTAGAAGGTGCCCCTAACATCCCCTGACGACTTCAAGAAACTGCATGGGTCACTCCGGCTGAGAACCGGGCCCGCTGAGTTTCAGCGGCTGCCTGACTCGATAGGGTTTTGGGCTCCACAAGGGCTTCACAGGGTTTGGGGTTCTAGAGAGCTTTTTGCCGTTCCTTTTTGTGTGTTTTGGAGGGGGGTCTGTGAGGGCTTGGTAGGAATTTGTGGCATTTGTTCTATGAGTTTGTAGGATTCTACGAGGGCCTAGGGCGGGGTCCTGCGGGCCTAGAGCTGCATGATTACCGGGCCGGTGTCATCATCGTTATGATCCTGCACGGGCTTAGGGATCAGGGGTGTAGGGGTTTCGTTTAGGGGTTTGGGGTTTAGGGCTTTAAGTCACCGGTTCACATTTTGGGGATTTCACCTTTTGGTTCTGCGACTGCACCACCCCACAAAATGCAAGCCGACAAGAACAGGGGCAGCAAGAGGACGCCAAAAAAGGACAAAGTGACGACGATCGCCAGTTACCGTTTCGGCCATGCCGGGAGCCGGGCCCGGGGAGGTCTTTCCTTCGGACCTCCGCGAGCGCCTGGGGCAGCTTGGAGCGCAGGGCTTGGATTTCTCCTCCGGGTGTGGGGACATAGGATCAGTTGCATTTTTTTTGCCCCGAAACATCGGAACCAAAACACTTCCGGGCTCAAGTTTACCCAGCTGTGTTGTCGAACAGAAAAAGCGAACGACTGTAACCTGGACCCTTAAGCGGTCGGAATTCTACAAGCAAAGCCATGTCAGCCGACAGGTCTGCAATCGCAGCCCTGCTTCGCTTGGCAATGGAGATCTAGCTCCGTGTTTCCGAGTTACCAACATAGAAACCTGCAGAACTAGCAATGATAGTCTGCCCCTCAATAGTACCTGCATGTTTTCAAGCCTTGAAATGCTTCAATGGGCAGTATTCCTGCGTTACAGCACACTTGACCCGCACAACCGTGAAAACCAAGAAATCACATGCGAGCCATACCCCACCACTGAGTGCGGGGCCTGTGCCGTTGGTGACCTCAGTACTATACCACATAATCGCATCCTACTGGGCTATCCTGATCCAACGAAATGCCTGGAGTCCTCCTTGGAAAACTTCTTGGTCCCCAAGCAGCGCAACTATCAATACAAAGCAAATGTCTTTCTACCAAACTCACTCCTCGACAAGCCACCGCGCACTGTGCATGCCTGCAACTCAACTCAGGTACAAAATCGTACTGATTGCGCTGCCCGTTTCTGTGCAGAAAATATCTGTTGCTGCGGGTCCTTTGTCTTCTCACCTCTCTCAATGTTGCAGTCTGCCCCTTGCCAGGGGGAATGCTGGGGGGAAAGGAGCTCTAACCTTCCTCCTGGCGCACGGTCGCTCTTTAAGTCGAAGCCTCAATCGCACTGCCAGTCCCTGCTCCCCATACTCCATCGGTACAGAAACAACCTGCATGAACCCAGTGTAAGCCAATGTCATGTTGCTATTGGATAGGCAGGAAGGCATCCAGGTACTCCTTCAGAGCCCGACTTTTTAAGCGACCCGTAGTTTGACAGTACCGGAGGAGCTTTAGGGTTACATACTTTGAGACCAGGGGCTACAGAAGATAGCCATGACAAGCGATCTCATTCCGATTCGCCTCTAGAAGTAACTTTCGAATGCATCCTAAAACCCGGCTCTGAATCCACAGGCTCCCAATTCAAGGTGCCCCTAAACCCTGAACCCGAAGGTGGATCCGACTCCCAGGGGAGCGGCGCTGTGGACTCGCTGGCCTCGGCGCTAAGACAATTAGCCCTGGGACCTCCATGGATAGCAGCAGAAAGGATCAGCACCAGTATAATAAGCACACTGCGACTGAACTCTGAAGGTAGAGAATCTCTCACAAGGACTCGACAGAAGCCGATAGAGGCTGCGTCACACCACTGGCAGACACAATTTCTCTACAACTGCAAACCGGTAAGTAGGATGGTTTGTAGTATATGCGTTGACATGGCTTTCCGAACGTGTGCTCAAAATTCAGGGTCGATGACCCCTTACCTTTGTTCAGAGAAGACCGGAAGGAATGCACGTGGACATGCTTATCCACCCTTCAGGCTAAACCTCCTGGTGGCAGATGAGAAAGGCATTGCAAAATTTACTCGGCTGCTTGCCGCAGGCATACTCTCAAGCAGCGATGCGCAGCGGGTTTTTGCCAAGCAGCATTCAGACAAATCTGGGAGTGACGGCCCGTGATGCAATATACTGCTAAAACAATGACCGGTGTGGGCGGTATGCGCCCGAAATTGAGATGCGACGGGGTCTCACCATGGCTGTGCTTTCTTTGTGATTCCTCTGCCCTCACAGGAGAGGATGCCAAAATCGCATACCGCCACCGGATCTTTGGAGCTGTACATCAAGCGCAGCACATCCTGAGGACATGGGTAAACTTGCTCCGAGAACAAATCACCAAGTTGTTCAGGGTTTTAGGGTTTCAGGTTTCGTGCTTTAGGGCTTAGGGTACCCTGGCCTGACACGACACACCAACCCTTTTCAATGATGTACAGTAATGAGAGGGGACGAACAAGAGTTGCACAAATAATGACAATAGCCACAACGAAAAAAAACGACAATATGCAACTCATTTCGCAGCTAGCATGTACAACCTTAGCAGCGATTTCAACAAACAGCATCAGCATCTGCAGATCTGAAGCCAGGACCCTTGCCCACAAGACGTCTCTGGCATCAAAACAGGAAGGTTGTCAGGGGAGCTTTACAGAGGGACCATGACGGCGGTAACATCGACTCGGCGGGTTGAGGTGTAGAATTACTTACTGACGTGCAGGCGGTTCTACTGGCTTCTGTATAAAAGCATACAAAGTCATCTACCCAGTAATTATTTACTCCTCTCCAGCCCAACCTTTGTCTTTGCACATGCCTAGACCTGACACTGCGAGGGCCGACATGGCCATCAGGTCTGGCGGCACGGCGCATGCGCCGAGCAAATGGAAAGTTGGAAAGCACAGGTTACTTCTGTTACGCATGGCAACACGACAGAGCAGCTGTAGCCTGCGTCTGATGAGTGCCCTTGGCATCTCGAGCATGCGACAGCACACAGCCTGCGCAGCCCAGTAAAAGTCGACACAACTCCTGAACCGGGGGAGCTTCCGGTCTAACGAGGCGAGAAACCTCAGCTTCTGAGCCCATGCCATCACATAACTTAAAAGGAGACCGATGACTAGGCTGAAAATATCATCTTGTCGCTTCACAAACAATGCCGGGACGGAGTCAAACACCACCGTCTCTCGTCCTTGCACAGAACAGCCTCCAGGTCAAGGGCGAGGGATTCTAAGGCGCAGGGTTTGAAGAGCATTTTGAAGTTTCCTGGATGTGATTTCAAAGGATTTTGTAAGGCATCGGCTTATGTATGGCTGCAAAAAACAACGTTCAGGCGTCTGTTTGGGGGAGGACTTTTTCAAGCCCTCCAAACCTGAAGCCGAAGTAGCCCAGCTATCCGACACGCCGACACAAAGGTGGTCTGGCCCTGTGCAAGTCGCCTGTTACCTTGCGCTTACCCGTGCATGTTTGCAGATTTCTATGCTGTATGATAATATATGGTAATGTAGTGCAGCCGTATGTTTTCCCCTATCACAAACCTTCGGCCGAGCCTACGGCTAGCCACGACCCAAGATGGCTTCAGCACGCTGGCCCCTCGGCGTCGCAGCCAATGCCTTCTTCAAGGCCTCACCGGATGCAGTTGACAGCACAAAGATAGATTTATTGTAGTGCGATAGATTTCATTGTAGTACCGGAATGAAGCACCATGATGAAGATCCGGCTGGCCTTGACATCGTCCGTGACAATGGCCTCCAAGGAACGCACATTCAGGTCACAAAGAGTAATGAGGGTACTTTAGGGTTCATGTAAGGTAACTTGGGTATTCTAGGGTTCCGAGATCGGGCTGGGGGGTAATTGAGATGCTATCAGCTTTGCTCATGTCTCTCTTGCATCGTTTCAGATGATATCGCTACTATCCAACGACCCCTGACTTGACTAAACCAAAATCCGATATGCTCTTTTCCCTCTCACTTAAAATCAGGGTCCGGGTCAGGGTTTATGATTATCAGGGTTGGGTTGCAGTTTGACAGTGGCGGCCTTGGACTGGAACTCTTGGTTCATGTAGCTGGACCGTGGCGCATACACGCCCCTGCATTTCCTCTACCTTTTTGGTTTGTGGACTCCGTATTTGCGCGGTTTCCGTTGTTTCGGAGTCTTCGGACTTTCAGCCATGTTCTTGGCCTTTCTCAAAATTGTGTGTTTTCACTTGTTACTCCTTCTTGGTTGCCAGCATATTCTGTCTCAGTGACGTTCAATCCGAAAACTGGCAACCGCGGTGTAAGATGCATGCAGGCCTCAAGAAAGGCCTTGGGAAAAACCAAACAGTTTGAGCTTGGCCTCCCGGCCCTAAAGCACTTCGTGAAGCCTGCATGCATACTATGCCGCGTTGTCCAATGTTTTCGCGCTCTTAGTTTACTAACAGTGTAACGGGCGCCAACACGCCACCCGCCATGTAGTTTCTGACTCTTGTCGCATGACGACTCAGCGGGTCTCCGCTTGCGGTGGCCAAAATCCAACCTAATTCACCATAGTCACCAAGTACACAAACAAAGCTGGTAGCACAACATGTTCATACAAAACACCGTCACTGGACATTGTATGGTTAGGGCGCTAGCAGAAGGAAGCTTCTTCATCATGGAGTAAGAGACACAAACTTATGGTTATTTACAATGGGCGCCGCTTGATTGTGATAGCCGGAAAATGACGGCTGGCCTTCAGTATGGGCGTGGCACCAGCTTCCAGTGCTTTTCCGATGATGCTACCAATCACGCAGAGTGCAAAGTCCATAGCATCAATGACCTCCGGCAGGGACGCAGAAGCCGAGGGAACTGGGGCGATTTGCTCACATTGAAGGTCTTGGCTACTATACCCTGCTTTCCGGAGTTTTTCGCGGGGCTACGAGGGTTTTGCGAAGCTGTTCGTCAAGATACCCCCAATTGCAGGTTGCCAAGACTGCGCGCAGGAGGTTCGCAGAAACCGGCGCTACATGCTGAGAAAGCCCTGGACCTATACTTCTATATGCTTGCGCCTCTCCTTGGGTGCCTCTGACCCCAATCTAAAACGCTCATTGAGGTCGTTTGGAAGCATGTGCGAGATGAACACGTCACCTCCAACTAAATGCAAATGCGTTCTTAAACACTCTCCCATGTCAAGAAAGGAATTGCCAGCAGGCAACGGTGCCTTAATTACAACAGATCAAGATAATCACGGGCAGGAAACATACCCAGCATGGAATCCCAAGCAAAGGCACTTTCTCATCCTGGCATATCAGCTGGATTTCCGCCACCAGTGCGGCGACCCACGGCTGGAAGAACTGGGAGTCAGCCTGCAGAAGTGTGAAGAACCACGATCTAATATAACGCCCTTAACAAGTAGTCATGACAGGATTGTGAGCCGCCTTATGCTGATTATTTAAGGACTATACGGATTAGGCAGACTTCTGTACTATGTATTTCCAATGTGCTGCATAGCGAAGATATCAGGCATCCTGCCTGAAACATGATGTGCTTCAACCCCAACTGCGTCAGCTCATCGAACATTTGCGCCGGCTCGTGGAAAAGCCGCACGGCCATGTCCTGAACTCAAGACTCGTCTGCTATAAAGAGATGCTCAGGGGATATGTCGATGCCACCTGCATCAGTAGTAGTAGTAGTAGTAGTTGTAGTTGTAGTTGTAGTTGTAGTTGTTGTCGTTGCTGTTGCTTGGGCAGTGAATCTGTAGCTGCAGCTGTCGTAGCAATAAATAAACACTACAACAGTATGAAGGGACTGCACCGGCGCTGTAGCTCTGAGCAGAACTTCTCGGGCGAGCATCGAGCGTCTTGCTGATGATGAACGCCAATCTCATCCAGGATTGGTTGAAGTGGTTGGAGACCTTACGCAGCATGACAGAATTGGCAGAATTGCGCAAGGCGGGTGCGACGATCCAAACCGTCGCAACCTCGGAATGAGCAATGTTCACATGCTATAGTGTGCATGCTCAGCCGTGAAAGACACTCCTGACAAGAACAATGACGACGACGATGATGAGGGTGAAGATGGAACGCAAGGCAGTGCGGATGACGATGTTGATGATGCTTGCCTGTACTGGCAATGGAACCGCGTGGTGGTTTAGAAAACACGGCTTGTGACTGCCTCGGTCGTGAGAGTTCTTCCTGTTCTCTGGCTTCATATCACTACTTTTGCGACTGATTATTCAGGCCGGCAACGTTCAATCCTTGACCCTGAAACCCTAACCCAACCAAGACCACAAAACCTTTAAATCCCTCATCACTCAACCCCCAAAGCAGACAACCCCTAAATCCCGAAACCCTAGCTTCGACGTCGGGGTCGCCTGCTCGTGCTCACGGAAAAGCCGCTCGAAGCTGCGTTTTCCCAGCTTCTGCCGTTGATCCGTGCTCAGCCCTGAGGGGTCAGTAGGTTCCGGGCTGAGGGAATCCAGTTCACATAGCGTTCTCTGCAGCTGCCTGCTTTCACGACAGCGTGTTGGAAGGATAGTTCGTTTCTGCTCTGCCAAGCCGAGGCTCAAGCATTCCTTGATGAATCAGCGGCACAACTCCCCGCACTGAAGCCCTTCCATCCACAAAGCAATGAAACTCGAAATTGCTCGTGGCCCCCCAGGCCTGCAACAAAGTTCTGAACTGGCTTCTGATACTTCGATGGCAGTGGAAGGGATTGCTCAAGGCGATCAGCGATGCACGTCCAAACAGCTATCCTCGGCTGCTTTTCTGCGGTCGGATGGGCTGAATCTGTCCTTTGAAGCTAGTATCTGCCGAAACTGGAAACACCAGCGAAACTGATCACATTGGCATAAAACACTCCTGCCACAGATTGCCACCAATGAGGGATTCTGAATCGAGAAAGCTTCGACCTGCATTCGTCGATAGGTACAATCTACCCTGCCTGGTCTTTCATGTAGTGGTCATGAAGGTTTGCACAGGAACAGATTCAGCATCGACAACACAATCTGCATAATTCATGATACAGTCGTCGCCATCCTCATACCCATAACAATGGCCATGATGGTCATGTCATGGCCGTGACCATCGGTACCCCATTTTATCATCTTAAGATCAGGGTCAAATAGCATCTCCCACCAGCTGCTGACAATTACCGTTGTTGCCAGATTCTCCGATACGTCTGCCCCATTTCCTGCTGCTCCTCGTGCTGGGTCCTCTTTATCTAGCTCTAGTTCCTGCTGTTACACTCTAGTCTTCACGCCAACTTACTGCAACTGCTGCACCGTGAAAGGCTTCATTGGTGCCAACATATGCCGACTAAAACACACAAACACGCGAGTCTTGGGACTCGCGCTTGCTTCAATCGGGTCTATCTCTGCGCGGTCATGTCACATACGCGTACCCGTGGTGAACAGAAATTCGAAATGATGATGAAGTTCGCAAGCACATACCGAACCCCTATAAACCCCACAAGCCTAATCCAAAGAAGCTACCCCAAGATCTCGTCCAGGAAGCCAAGCACTCTCGTGCTTGGAGTCCCAGCCATCCGGTAGGAGCGCCCGGGCTGAGGCGAGCAAGCAGGTCTGGAAATCCTGACTTGGAAGCTCTTAAAACAAGGGTAACTGAAAGGGCTACTGCACTTACGGGATACTGGGGTTCCATCAGGGGGTTGGGCTTTTGGGCCTTTGGAGTTCAGGGGCTTAGGGTCAAGGGGGAGAGTGTGACTTTCAGGTCCGCTGAGCATGGGTACCTGCTCGGGGATCCGACGGAATCCTTGAGAGCAACCCTTCGTTCACAGGTTTTGTGGTCTTCGGCGCACGTGTTCCCAGGCACCCAAAGGGCATGAGTCTTGCACATGCTTCATTCGGCTTTCCCGCGAGGACCTGCGTAGCAGTGAATGGCTGCATTTCTCTTCGACAGATGCGCATGATCTAGGTTTTTCTTGGTTCGAACGCGTTAATCAGCACGAAACCCGTAGACAAACACCAAAGCCGCTGACTTGACCTTACCTAGGAGCACACCATATTATGCCATAGTCCTCTAAAAGCACCATCTTTGTTGCATCCCCTTCAACCCCGGTCCTTCACAAGCACCTGTCCTGGAACTTCTCGGAAAAGCCGTAGCCTTGGGAAGCGGGAACGCCCTGAATTGGAGGAGCCCGCGTGCACATCTTTGAGAAGCCTAAGGAAAGTAAGTAGGGTTAATAACTCTTGAACTTGTAGCAAGCAGCATGACATCTCCGCTCCGAGAAAAACCGATTGCTAGATTACCCTTGTATGCGTGTTTTTTTCAGTACAATACGGCTTGCTGCCGTTTAGAATAATCGCAGTATTGCACATCTATAGGTATTGAGAGTAAGCTGCATATCTTTCACTGGCTGAAACAGCTTTTGCACACGGCAGTGTACACTTCCGCTGCAGAAGAAACCCTAAGGCCCTAGTAATCTCGTGCAGATGGAGCAGAGCACGGCTTCGATTGCAGGTGTGCGACGCAGCCACGTCACAGGCGCAGTCCAAGCCTCCTGTCGGAACACCAACCAAGGCCTGTAAACCGCAAACCCCCGCCTCGAACGGTTCTAATGCTCCCGATTACTTGACAGCTAACTGCTAGCAGCAGCTGACGGCAGATCCATGCCAAGTCATAAGTTGGCACACAGCCGGCTGCACGCCATAGCAATGACGCCCTATAGTTGCACGGGCCTTGTCACGCTGGCTGCGATCCGGAATGTAGGGTAAGGAAGGAATGTAGGTCACGAGCTGGACAGAAAAACTGGCACCCCAAGCCGTCATATCCGTACTTGTATAACAGCGGTCGCAGTACTTACTAGGAGTGGTCGTCGCGTCGTCGTCGTCGTCGTGGTGGCAGTATTAGCAGTAGAAGCAGTGAAGATAGAAGTAGGAGTAGGAGTAGGAGTAGGAGGAGCAGGAGCAGGAGCAGGAGCAGGAGTGTCCGTAGGAGTGGGAGGAGCCATTCATAGTACAATTTGTAGACACAAGGGGTTTAGGGTTCTGGCTGCATTTGCGACGTTGTTAGTAGAAACAGTCATCCTTAGAGCAAGAGTGCAAGAAATGACAGGAAGGGTGCAAGATGGAAGAATACGAGTTGCTGGCAGCGAGCCTATGCTCAAGTGCCGTCTTAGAACCGCCTTTTTGCAGCTTCCAGCCCAGAATATCCGTAAACGCTAAACCCAAACCCCTAAACTAAGAAACTCCAAATCCTCCATCCCTGTGCCACACAGGACATTCACCCCTCTTTGGGAGCTGCCACTGAAGTGTGCAAACCCTGCTGTCAAAGCCAAAAAGCACGACCAAACAGTTTACGGTGGCACTCCAAAGATACAAATCTCTCTTGAGAAGCACTAATCCCACCCACAACCAACCAGAAACCATGAACTTCCGAAAATTTTGAATGCTGAGCACTCAACCCCGGGCCCTCCGCGCTATTTTCGCATCTCTGCAACCTTGCTCAGATTTTCAGCCTTGCTATATCACAATAGAGCTCCTTGTTTCCTAAAGCTCGCACCCTAAACCCTAAACCCCCAAGCCCTCAACTCCAAACCCCAAGCTGCAAAGCCAAAACCCCAAAATCAACACCCCAAGCCTCTAAAGCCCAAACCCCCAACCCCAAAACCCCTATGGATCTTTTTGAGGATCGCTTTACGGAGCCCAAATAGACCCATTAGAGATCCCCCCTTAAGGGAGCCCCAAAGCCCAAAACCTTCTGGTTCCCTGTTGGGGCATATTAAAAAATAGTCATCCACTTTTAACATTTTCTTTATAACTTCTATCATCTTTGTTATCATCTTTGTCATTTTAAATCCCTATTAGGGTTGTATTCTAACAAAACATGTAAAAAATGTATCCACCAAAAAGGCCCAGAACCCCGAAACCTCCTTGCGTCTTGCGGCGAGGCCCACGAGGCTCGGGTTGAACAGCGCCTCGGGGCATCTCCAGCGCTCGTCCTGGAGCCTTGGTGATTTCGGGCTTTGTGGGCTTCGGGTTATGGGTTTAGGGTTGAGGGTTATGGGTTTATGGTTCAGCTTTAGGGGTTTAAGGGGTTTTAGGGGTTGAGGGCTTCGGGTTTGGGGTGCCTTGTGATTTTGGGGTCCTGGGTTCAGGGAGCCTTGTGTAATCAGGGCTTAAGGAGCCTTGTGACTTTGGGGTTATGCGTTTCGGGCTCTCGGTTTGGGCTTTCGTCGTATTTTGGGAGCCTTGTGATTTTTGGCATACGGGTTTAGGGATTTTTAAAGTTCGGTTATGGGTTTAAGGATTTTTGGGTCCTAAGGTTTAGGGCTTAGGGAGCTGTGATTTTAGGGTTCTGCGTGTGCGGTTGTGGGCTTAGGGTTTAGGGTGTAGGGTTGTGGGTTTGGGGTCAGGTCTTTAGGGAGCCTGTGGCGTCAACAGAGGCTCTGTATTTCGAGTTCCTTTAAGGGCTCGACGAAGGGATGCTCAAACAGGGCTCCTCCGAAGGCTCCTTTAAGGAGGGTGTTCCTTGAAGGGGCTCCTTGTGGGATCCTTTTTGCTTTCATGGTTCCTTTAAGGGGCTCCTTTTAAGGGATCTATAGGGTTCCTTTAAGGGCTCCTTTTGAGGGATCTATAAGGTTCCATCAGGGTTGAGGGTTGAGGGTTTTGAGATTTAGGGTTTTAGGGGTTAGGGTTCGGGCAAGAGAGTCCAAGGTTTCAGGCTTCAGGTTGTTTATGAACCCTACTAACAAGACTCTGCAGCTCCGGAAAAAGTGTTGTATCTGTATCAGTGCAGTATGCTCGCAAGAATCAACGGGAATGGTAGGGTTGGGATTGCGAGTCGTGTATACGTGTCAAGAGTAAGCAGCAGCTCGAAGTACACAAATCGAAGCCAAGGTTCTGGCAGCAGGTATTCAGGGCACTTTCAGCAGCATGTCGAACTTGAGCCTAAACCCTAAACCCTAAACCCTAAACCTTACTGGGCATGGTACCAGGGTGCAGGAAGCTAGCAGGCCTATCGGGTTATCAACCCTGAGCCAAACAACCCTAAACTGCGATCTCGAAACCATGATTAGTGGAGCGAGGACGCTGAAACCAGGAACATACGATGCTGAGGTTAAAGCTGGAATGTGTTGTAAAGCTGATGGAGAGAGCAGTGCTAGGGTCTTTGTGGAACGAAGTGCAGATAGACTGTCTTTTGAGGATCTAACAATCGATTTTTACTCCGAACCCTGAAAAAAATCAACCCTAGACTCTAAACCCTGCGACACCGTGTCTTCAAGTACTTGGAGGCCTTGCACCGGGCATGCCACCCGAGGGCGTGGTAGCTGTGATGTCACGCCTCTGGAGGTCGTACTTGAAGTTCGTGACCATAGCTGAAGTGCCCAGCCACGTCCCCAGAGACAGCAACCTTCTCCTCTTTGGGTGCATTGCCCCGGCCCCTTCAGATTTGGGTGGCATCGTAGGCGACCCTAAACCTGAAACCCTAAACCCTAACACTATCAGCGATCCCCTGTCTCCGGGTCTCCACTCCAGTGCCTTTCCCCGAGGCCTTGGTGGCAGGGATGGCCGACTTTCCCTGACCTTTGGCTCCGCCAGTGGGAGTGCCGCCAGTCGCCCCAAAGGGCCCTGGGGTCTATGTATAAGGGTTAGCTACTATAGTGGATCTATAGCGATTCCATCCTATAGGGGCTTTAATAATCAATTCAGGGTTTGAGGCACAGTATCTCACTACTGCCAAAGAAATCGGAGGAGATGAGATCCCGCAAGTCTCCAGGAGCTGAAACAGAAGCATGATGAAACCTCATGGCAGACCTCATGCCGGAAAAGGAAACTGAATAGCGAAGCTGAAACCTCTAGATCCGAAACTCCGGTAGCCTCTAATCCCAAATCTTGCCGCAGCCCAACATCTCTGAATCTCAAGATCGTAATTAAACCCATATAAGACCTTCTAAGCCCAAGTCCCTACCCTTCATTCCCTGGAAGCCCGGCACTCTGAAGCTCTGCTCCTCAAGCCATAAAGCAATCATGCCGAGGCGTAGACGACCGATTGCGAGAAGGACTCCTCCTCCCGGTCCCGTCCTGACGACATCTTCTAACGATCCCAAAGGGTCCAAGTGCCATTATGGTAGCTACTGAGTAGCCATTTGGGCCCCCAAAGTACATACTATACTAGTACTTGGACCCTTTGGGGATACAAGCAGCTGAAGGAGAAGAAGGGAAGTCGTAGTCGTAGTCGCGGTCGGAGTCTTGGTCTTAGTCTTGGTCGCAGTCCTAGTCGTAGTAGCAGCCGCAGTAGCAGTAGCAGTAGCGGCAGCGGCAGCGGTAGCAGTAGCAGTAGCAGTAGCATTAGCAGTAGTAGTAGTAGTAGTAGTAGTAGCAGCAGCAGCAGCAGCAGCAGCTGCGGCAGCAGGAGCAGCAGCAGCAGGAGGAGGAGGAGGAGCAGAAGGAGGAGGGGAGTAGTAGTAGTAGTAGTAGTAGTAGTCGTCGTAGTAGTAGTAGTAGTCGTAGTAGTAGTAGTAGTCGTAGTAGTAGTAGTAGTAGTAGGAGGAGGAGGAGGAGGAGTGGCAGTAGTAGTAGTAGTAGTCGTCGTCGTCGTCATCGTCGTCGTAGTTGTAGTAGTCGTCGTC